TGAATCCCAGTGAGCCCAGGACGTTTACATTTGAGAGACTCTAATGCCTAACTCGGGCTTTGGCTCAGAGTAAATGCTTAATAAATGTTTATTGAAAGAACAACCTAACATTTGCACAGTCAACAAAGCTCTTTGTTATACATTAGCTCATTTCATCCTTAAAGAGCCCTGCGCGGTGGGCAGGGGTAAATCTTCTTGGGTTGTAAAGGAGAAACTGAGGCTGAGGGAGGAGAGTGGTTTGCGTAATGTGGCGCGGCTAGTAGGGGAGGTGCTGGGATTCAAACCCCGAAGTCCCCGGCTTCCAAGTCTGTGCTTGTATAGCCTCACTATTGGGCCTACCTCATGACTTCCAAGGCAGGAGAGAAAGAGAGGCTTACAGATATTACTCCCCCCCCTTCTTTTAGGGTATTTATTACTAAAGCTATTTTAATGTTTTTTAATGTTTGTTTATTTCTGAAGGAGAGAGACACAGAGTGCTAGCAGGGGAGGGGCAGAGAGAGAGGGAGACACAGACTATGAAGCAGGCTCCAGGCTCTGAGCTGTCAGCACAGAGCCCGACGCGCGGCTCGAACCCACGAACCGCGAGATCATGACCTGAGTCGAGGTCAGACGCTTAACCGACTGAGCCACCCAGGCGCCCCACACTGAAACTATTTTAAAACTGGACTGTCCAGCCAAGCCACCCATTCTCCCTCGAAGCTCCTAGCACCGTGCTTGATAAATATTTTCTGATTCACTCAGCTGCAGGGAACAAGCTTTCGTTGTTGTGGTGACTGCCCAGAGCAAAACTCAGGGAGGTTAGGGTATCAGTGATGCCGAAGGACCCTGGCCACCAATGTCTGCGAGGGGGAGCTGGAGTCCGTGGGGGGTGACTCCCAGAAGCATTGCTGGGTGCAGGGTATCCTCTGCGAGGGGGAGCCTGGTGGTGCTTGGGCCAGCTGGGCCACTGTCGCTTATTGGTCTAGGTGGTGGAGGGGTGGCCCCTCGTTCAAAAATTAGTAATTTCAAGACAGTGACGGCAGAACATGAAGCCCAGCACATGTCTGTCTGAGGACAAGGTCTGAGAGGCTGCACAGCTCTCTGTGGTGTGGCCTTGGGGCAGGCACGGCCTGGGCTCCCGCGGGGCATCTCTGTGGGTGCTGTGGATGGAGACAGGAAGTGGGGAGGGGCGGGGCAGAGGCGTAGAAGGCCATCTCTTTTCTGGGGTGTCCCCCATCTCCTGGGGAGAACCCCGGTATGCTCCCCCCCCCTCCACGATCATCAGAGCAACCTCCAGACCTGCGTGGGGTTCCGCCCTGGTTCTGCTACCTGGAATCCTCGTGACTCGGGATGGGACACTGAACTCAGAGCCTCCGACTCCTTGGTTATAAAATGGTGCCGATGCTTTCCTCTGTGAGTGATCGAGGGGTCAGATGAGACGATGCCAAAGGACCTGGCCGTGTCCCTCATCCCAGATCACAGCACCGTCTTCTCCGGACTAAGTGGGACTGAGGTCCCCATCAGCTGGACCTGAGTTGGCTAACAAAACACACGTACACGGACTGAAAACTCAAGTGCTTTCAGAGGCGGGGTGGGTTATAGACACGAAGGAGACAGGCCCCAGAGCAAGGCTTTAGGGAGGGGTAGGGACTGTGGTAAACTGGTTTGGGGCCCTCCCTCATGCCACTGCCATCCAAAGACCAAATGGATACGGGAAAACACTGCCAGCTCATTAGGCGGCGAGGGAGGTCATCCTGAGAACTTTCAAACATTAAGTCGGAAACCGGGACATTAGGTTGACATCAAGGAGGAGGCATTAACAGGCCATAAGGTCCTACACGGTGAGCTACAAATGTGGCTCCCGGCGCAACGCGAGGAGGGCGACATAATCGGTCACGTGGTCCTCACTGTCTGTGAAGGAGAAACGGATAGTAGGTGCTGGGAGCCAGCTCGAGAGACACCTTCTGGGGGCTGCATGTAGGGTCTCGTCCTGGGTACTGAGGGTAGGGTGATGGGCGCAGGCTTCTGGTGCAGGGAACAAGCAGGTGCAGAGGAGTTAAAAAAAAAAAAGCAATAAATTTGACTGAAATTTGATCTGCTTTGATTGTCCCTGTGCACTGGCAATTGCAAACAACGTCAGTGACAAAATTCTCCTCCACGAAAATTCTTTCTTGGCATTGGGTGTAAGGGAGTGGACCTTAAGAATAAGTAGTAACAAGTATAAGCTTCACATTAGGACGGTTTTATTACCTCTCCTTTTTTCTTTTAATTAAAAAAATTTAAAAATTATTTGTTTAATTTTAGAGTGAGTAAGAGAGAGAGAGAGAGAGAGAGAGACAATCTTAGGCACAGAGCCTGACTTGGGGCCCGAACCCACGGCTCTGGGATCATGACCTGAACCGAAATCAAGAGTCGGATGCTCCACACACAGACTTGAGCCAGCCAGGCGCCCCTCCTCTCCTTTAATAAACATTGTAATCGTACAACGAAGTTAATTTGGAGGACTCCCAGTTACAAGCGT